AAAAGAAAAACATAAATCTCTAAAATCATCTTAGATTCTTATAAATGTGAATAACGCAAGGTACATTAATGTATCCTGTCCATCACTGGGGCGAGTCGCAAGTTATTAATATTTTATTTTTAAATGGGTATCATATGAGACGCGATGACCTTATGAGTCTAAGACGTGGTCGTTCATTGCTGACAGTATGAGGAAGTAAAGGTCGCTCAGCGAGCTATGGAGAGGGCTAAGCTAAGAAATGAGGATATTCACAGTAGAATCAGAGTAACCGCCATCACCCAATGGATTAGCAAGTTGAAGTTGCAATGGGCCAGCCATATAGCTCGAAGAACCGACAGTCTATGGGGAGGAAAGGTGTCGAGTTGCAGCCGCGTACCGGTGGGTGAAGGGTATCGATGGATGCAGGTGGCTCAGGACTGTGCTTTGTGGCATTCCTTGGGGGAGGCCTTTGTTCCGTAGTGGACTTGTGAAGGGCTGTAATGATGATGATGATGATGATGAAGAGGCAACGGAGGGAATTGAAAGTTTCGATAGACTGTAATTAATTAAAATAATGTGTGATAGGTAGTACATAAGTAGTACATAGTAGTAGTAGTAAGTAGGTACATAAGTCCTGGCGGAACGCTTACAGGAAATCGCCCCAACATGTAAGTGGTAGAACCATGCTGCAGCTATATTGTTATAGTCGTGGTTTTTTTTTTTTGTTGGTGTAGGGCCTGTTTGTGCCCGGGGGGGGGGGGGGGGGGGGGGGGGGGGGGCTGGCCCTAATAATGGGTCGACTACCGAGGAAGAAACACGCTTTCACAAAATACCAGAGTAAAATGGTATGCCATGTTCCATGTTACATATGGCGAATGCAGGAAATCGGAGACAATTTATTTTTTTGCCTACAGCATTACATCTTAGTCGTCAGCGATAACTCATCTGCATTTTGATCTTAAAGGAGAATAGATGTAGATGTTAATTGGACACAGCATCTACTTACCATCAGGTGAACTTTGTGCTCGTATGGTCACCCTTATTTTATAAATAAAAAATACAGACCTAAATGCAGCAGTAGAGCTGATAGTGATGATGAATATTATAATGATTGTCGAACTTTCTATATTTAACTATACAATCTAAACAGCCATGTTGTTCAATACATTCATAACACAACTCGGGGTTGAATGGGGTGGGTAGTGAAAAAACGCCTGGTAATCCACTGTGGCGATGTCAGCGCGACGAATCCGTGACGAATTGCCGCCTAACCCGGCCAAATCCCGACTTTGTCCCCTTATTTTATTATTTCTCTTATTGCTTACAACTCTACCCCGGGAACACTGCGTCCGCTCTTACATTATTCATTGTGCGTCGATCGGTGACACACTGCTTATTGTCCACAGATAAAAAACTGACTTGTCTATGGAATGCGACAGTCATATACGTCGCAATTATATGTAAATTGGAATGAACAATTTAAATTAGTAAACATGCAATTTCTTACGTTATAACTCACATTATGTTTAAATTGCTATAGTTTTATTTTTGTTACACTCTAATGAGTTAAAAAACAACTAATCTTGATTTCTTATATTTACGCGAACACTACACATTGAAATAATACTAGTTGTTACGGAATTTATCGCGTATATTTAACTTATTAAATACCCGACGCGACGTTTCGAGAGCTTTAGAGCACCCATGGTCACGGGGGGGGGGGGCTATGGGTGCTGTAAAGCTCTCGAAACGTCGGGTATTTAAAAATTAAATATACGCGAAAAATTCCGTAAAAACTAGTATTATTTATTACAACTAATCTTCATGAGCTCCTGGTAGTATAACGGAAAAAATTTGTTGTTTGCAGTTTGGTACATTTCATAAGTTCCCTAAAGAATTTGAAAACTGGCAATAAAATTAAATATTATTGATATTTATTTATAATATTATATTATATAGTAAGTAACCTACATAAACTTCATAAATATTTGTATAGTATTCATAGTTGTGACCCTATTTTAGTCCCTGGTTGTATGACGGAGTAAAATTTGTTGTTTGTAGTTTCAGCATATTTCATCAATTTCCTTTATTAATCCAGGATTTAATTTTTAAACTGGAATCAAATTAAACATCTAGATAAAAAAAATCTTGTGAGCTAACTCTTAACTTTTGTATCGTGGTAGAGCCACGCTGCAGCTATATTATGGCTGTAGCACGAATGTGTCGGCTCGACCGGGGAAGGACCACGCTTCCACAGAATACCAGCGTAAAATAGCAGCTTAATACTGCTGTGTTTCGTATGGTGAGTGTAGAGATCCGGAGACACTTTTTTTACTGGAAACGAGGCATTCAATCTTAGTCCTCAGAGGTGACAACGCATCTGCGTTTTGATTCTTAATCGAGTATAAATGTAGATGTCTATGGGCCACAGCATCCACTTACCATCAGGTGGACTGTGTGCTCGTTTGTCACCCTTATTCTATAAAAAAAAACTCAGCCATTACAGCAAACTCAGCTTGAGTTCACCATGCCAGGCAGCGCCACCGCGCAACATCCATCAACCCTCAATGGCAGACAATAAAACACAAATAAAATATCAGATCGCTGCGTAAAATACCTCTTAAAAAGATTTCAGAGTTTTACGAGAGGAGCACTGTATCGCAGAAGGTACAAAAGATTAGCACGCGGGGTGTCGTAAAGAAACAATTTTCTGGCTTCCCCGCGCCGAGGGACCGCCTCGCTTTATGGAATATGGCGACGTGATAAAAAATGCCATATTCGCGCTCAAATTTCCAGATTTTCACTTAAAATTTTCTTGGCTTAACTTTGGCTTTTGCTTTGCAATTTCTCGGATCTTCATTGTCTACTCTATATTACGTTGACTCTTTTTGTTTTCGTATCAGCTGTTAGCTTATTTTCTGTTTTGATATTTCTTAATACTTGTGTGTAATTCATATTCATTATATTTATAATCGTTTTTGTTCAAAATATCTAAGTGGCAAATTTTTTATCATTAATTATTTTAAATTTTTAAATTTAACTTTGTATTCTGTCTTCCTTGATGTACCTATCAATGTAGTGAGTAGAGTGTTTCTTACATTTCTAGTAAAACAAACTGCATTATTAATTCAAACAGAACATTTTATTGTTTAATCCGTTTAGAGAAAAATAAAAATATAAAATTAATTAATCAAAATCACATTGACATACAAGATGGACGTACACCAAATAGTATATTATACATTTACGAGTTAGATTTATGAAAAAAATAAGTTTTAGAACATCGTAAGAAACCTACCACGATGTCCGCACACTACGCCCTAACTTAGACAAGAACCAACTACACAATTTTTATGTTAAAACTCATATACAGACAAAATGTAACTAATATTTTAATGCAAGGCATCCCGAACATCCAGGGAGAGGCCCACTTGTCTCAAACATAAGTTTAAAAGTATGGCTTCCACGTTAACAATGCGAGAAATAATATATAACACAAACAAAACAATTCAGTCTCAACGCCCAAAATATGCCTAACATACACTAAACAAACAGACCGACGCTGAAACAAGCGCAACCATAACTCGCAACGAAATCACAAGATATTTTCCATGACATTTTTTACCTGATGTTAAAAATTTATAAATTTTGTTGCAGAGCTTAGTCGCGAGTTGCTCGCGTCCCTACCCTATGGAATTACGAACATATGCAGCAATTCTTTACAAAAATAAATCGTACCGATCAAGAATACAGCTCGAACCAGCTCGAGATCGACTTGCAGTGTACAAAAATACGGCAAACCATTTTAGTTTATTTAAAACTTTTTCTGCTACTCGTGTAGAGAGGGAAAGAGCCTGTTTGTACCCAAACACAACGTCTAGTTAAAATTTATCCTGTAGAAGCATCTAGTTCTCTATAAATATAACGCACATACATTATACATAATATCCGTTAGCAGTAGTTGCTTTCATTCGTTCGCGAACATTCGCTCGCGAACGATCGTCCAGTTCGCGAACAGATGCAAGCCCACCGCAACAGAGTCTAATTACACCTAGCGTATACTGCGTACGTATTTTTGTGTCAACTAACTAATTAGTACTCCTGTCCATCTAACCGTTAGTAAATGAATCGGCATATATCAACTATTTACGTATATTTTAACTAGCCGAAACAATAACGCCCTAGCATCTACCACTTTTAAAATCAATGTCAATAATTTAAAATTCTTAATAGTAACCTTATCATCTCACTTAGGCAAGTTAAAATTGTATCTTTTACGTATACATCGTTTTCCCATTATTTTTCAATATACCTAATTAGATTGTCAACTAAGCTCAGAGACGTGTAGCTGAGTAGAGTTAGTCGAATCGCAATAGAAGTTAGTGGCTTCGGAAAGACTTATCGTGCTTTTTTATTTACTTAAAATTACAATTAGTATACACATATTACAATCAACGTTTTACGTATGTTTTTTTAAAATCGTATACATAATTCCGCAAACAAATTTCGAACATCGGCGCCAATGTTCAATTAATAAATCAATAAAGCGTCATCGATCAGAAATCGATCGTCGATACGATAGTATCGAGCGAAAGTATTCTGTGGTCGCACCCTTTTGAACACCCCTTCACTGTAACGTTTATTATGATAATTTTGAAACTTAAACTGCATTCAATATCAGATTGAGAGAATTGTACAGTGTCAAGAGAATGGCCAATTGCAAAAACGAAGATTTGTTCTAAGGAACTTAAGCTAGCGGCGCGTCCTCGAGCTTCGATAGAAGCCCTCAGATGCGCCGGCGTCACTGCACTCCGTCACATGATGCTGCAGACGGAGTGCAATGTTACAAAGCAAGGGAGGCGGAATATAAGAACTAATACGCGAGCACCCCCTTTACAGACTTCGTTTTTGCAATGGCCAAACTAAGAGCAGGGGTGCACGAGGTAGCTCGTGGTAGAGTTGGGTGCTAGCTGGGGATCGCGCCTCTGAATCAGGTGGGATTTGCTATAGGGGGTACTCACGACGTCGGGTGTTGAGGCGCCGTCGTGGCTGCTGTCTGGTGCGGATCGGGGCTCGCCGTTCGCGTCTGGCGGCCGCGCAGACTCCCGCTCGTCGATCACGAGGTCGATCGGCATCTTGCCCTTCAAGCAGCTTATGTAGCGGTGGCAGAAGTTGTCGCACAACTCGTGCACCTGTCGATACAAACGCTTTCATCAGTCCTCGTAAGTTATTGCACAACCAAGGCGTAACCCAGCCTTTGTGGGCCCTGCAGCATAATTTGTTTGGGAGGCCTTTAAAAAATATGTCAGTTAGACATATGGTAGTCACTTTAGCTTGAGACACTATACCATTTATGGAATAGACCCAACAGCGCTCTACACTTTACTGTAAGGTGGGTTAAGATCAATACAAATCATGCTCATTCCTTATATGCAATACCCTGCGTTAGTTTTAGAAAAAGTCGTTAAATGAAAATTAACACTTACAATTCCATTCCGCATTTGTTACCGTAGTTAACGTAAGAGTCGACACTAAACATGTAGCCTCTGATAGTTAAATGTTTCAGAATAGTCATATCAATGAGTCCTGAAAATCCAGGCCAGCGACGGAGAAGCAAATGTAAAAGTCCAATAGTTTTCTAAACTCCGAGCCAAGCGTGATAATTTTTAAATTACTCCAAATATACAAGGCTTGTCTATCAGTGGAGTGATAAGAGACTGGCGATGAGAAAAATTACTATTATAGTGTACTACACTGTATCCTTGTTTATATGCATTAGTTGTTCTTCCTGAACGCTTAACAAACTTAAGGTATGTTTTGGTAACTAAGTGTACGTTTTAGTTCAGCCGCTGATATCACTAGCCAACTAACTTTACGACCGATATCCACCTGCATAAAACAACAACACGCACCTTGCGATGTTTGAAGAAACAAATAACATTTATCGCATCATCGATGTCAATTAGTTATCTTTTATGAATTTTTCTGTTATAACATTGCCTTTAATATCTTTTTCTGCTACAGTGACACCATCAACAAAACTCAAAAACTTGAAGTAACTATGTTAAATCAAGTTAAGGTGATAAATTCACAATTATTAAAATTATGAATGCTAACATATTAATTACCGGCTTTTTTATTTTAGACTAGGCTATTGTTCAACAGTGGGATGTATATGAGTTAGATGATGATAGATAAACAATCATCAGGCAAGGCCCTGGTCGAAGCCATGGTCCGGAGCGAGACGGAATGGGATGCCGTCACCAACTTCTGCGAAGCAGTGATGCTGGCGAAGGAGGTGGCGGAGCGGGAGAAGGAGAGAGCAGCAGCTTTCCTCCCCGGCCGCCGCGGGAGACGCCCTGGGCGTCGGGGGCTACGTCGTGGCCCCCGGCCACCGTAGGCGCAGGCCTGTGGCCGGCGAGCAATGGGTAGTTCGTCGTCCGTCCGTCTAATGACGACAGGCCGTGTCGACGGCGCGTTTTGTTCCACGCGCGCCTCAAAGAGCTGTCAGCAGCGTGAAGGGGCCCGCAAGGGCCGACGCCTGCCGGGGCTGCGGGCTGTTCGAAAGAGATACCGCGGCTCCGGAACGTAAGGGCACTGAAGGAACACGGATGGTTTTTAGTCAGTAAAAGTCTGACACTCCCTTACGCTCCACCCAGAGCGAAAAGGGTCATTAGATGATATTCCATCCGCAAAAAAAAAAAAGGCAAAATTTATGAATGTAGATGTTATTTTGAATAGGCTTAAGACTATACACAATATAAAGGCTATGAATGAATTGAAACTAATAAAAAAGATCCAACAATAGAAACAAAAGGGAATACATTTAAAGGCCAACTGTCGCACTACACACATCTTTAAAAATTTCAAAACGCAATTTAAAAACTTGTATTTAAAAAAAAATCCCTTCTAATAAACACGACCCCCGACTGTGCATTAATTCCGTAGCTTATACATTTTCATAGGCATAATTAGCTTTGAAATTAACATAAGGCAATAAAAAGACTAAAGAATTTTTTAGACAGCGCACAACACGGTAAAAAGTAATAAAATGGCGACAGGTGGGCAGCGAAAAAAAGAATCTTTTCGAAAAACGAACGAGCTCCTCGAATAGTCTTAGCGTATTCGAAAATAGAACACAGCACCGAAAGCGGAAACAACGCTACCCGCTGTTGACAGTCAATTATGTCTTGGTGCACTTATTTTCTAATCGACAGCTTTTCCAAATTAAACAGCGGTTGTAAAAATGAAGTATGCGCGACCACATACCATAGTTTGTTTATAATAATTTTAATTTTACAACCAACCGTTGCGTTGAAATTCATATTTATGACCGCGTGAATTTTATTGACACTAGAGAGGATAAACCGACGAGTTTTACAGGTGCCGGGCGGTTTGCGAGCATTGCGCTGTCAATGTCAAAATTTTGATTGAGAGCGCTTTTATAAGCTAACAGAATGACGGAGTAAACACACCGTTTTGTGTACATTCGATTTCATCTCTAATCCCGCGTTCCAAGATGCGACTATTTTCGATTCAGTGACAACGGTTAAGATTTGACATCGTAACTCTTAGGGAATTCAAATTTGGAACCGCTGGCCGCCCTCGGGAGACACGGAGCAACAAACATGACCCGTATTTGTATAATATGAGGAATTACAGTTGTATGGTTCAAATCGTCTGATATGTCGTTTTTTCGTTGAAGAGCGATGTCTTTAATGAGATATTACGACATTCTCGAGTCTCGATTTCGGACCGATTATCGTTTCGAAGATCAAACTCTTTCCAGAAATTTAAAATTTGGATACGGGATTGAGATATGGAGTGTTTCTGGACGAATACTTTTTATTTAAATTTGGAATGAAATGTGACCTAATCCATCCTAATAGCAGCCGGTTGACTTATGGATTAAGTCTCATCACACACATGGAGTTACCTATCATTAAGATTATTTGATTCATCTTAGAGATCGTTTAGATTCTCATCTCTTAATATGTAATTAAGAGATGATATTCTCAGATATGGTGATGCTGTAATTTTGAAATAATCTGTAACAAGCTAAAAAGAGGACGAAAATATGGTATATGTATATTTACTAAGTGCAATGTAATTGTGATTTAAATTTTAAATAATACACTAGCGGGAAACTTCCTCGGTGACGGTGTTTTGACAAGGGTTATATTTCGAAGCGTTTTTATGATGATTAAATGACAATGACGAAAGACGAAACACTGTCCCTTAATTTATGGAAGAAGTAAATCCTGCTTGACTTAATTCTATGATATTCTACGTGTACATTCGTGAGATATCTAAAAGCCTTTAGCTTGCAATGAATTAAATTCCCTATTTAAATTCGTAACGATAAAAAAGCAATAAAAAATTGTTTTGCGTCTCGTCGTCAAACGTGTTCTTGGACGCCATCGCAGGTATGTCCGCCTAGAAGTATTTTTAAAGTTTTTAAAAGAGGTCTAGTCAGCTGTAGCGGTGCCAGTAGCGTGGGCCGGATAAGATCTCGCAATCTGTGCCGCGGTCTATTCGCAACTAAAAGGGGTTTTTTTCTTCTTGTAATACGCCACTTCCCTCGCTAATGTGCTACGTGGGCGCGACCGGGCGCCGCGTGGATAGGCACATTGCGAAATGAATTTTTATCCACCCGTCCAGCAATAGACGTAAGTAGTGGATAAATAAATACACTCAAAACATCTTTGATATCTTGTTTCTCTGATTAATCATCCACGTTTCGTGAAAAAATCTGAGTTTGTACATTTAAATGTTTTTAGTTTTTTTTTTGTTATCATTTTTAATCTGGCTTTAGAGCATTGTTGTTGGAGGAATGGATCGAACTTTTAAATCTGTCTGAGCCTTTAATATATTTATCATCATCATTATTATCATCGTCATGTTCATCATTATCTACATCTTCCTAATCAAAGTACATCACAAGTCCATGAACATAGTCTTCCCCCACAGACTAACAGTCAAATCATCACTACCTGATGGTTAGTGGTTTTCTCAGTCTCGGTAACTCCTGAGGACTAAGATGAAATGCATCACAGTCTGTAGTGACATGGACTCCAATTTCCTTCAGACAGGAAACTATAAGTAGGTTCACTGTTACCGTTTCAGCCTATTAAAATCCACCGCTGAACACAGGCCTCTGCCATAGATTGCCTCGTGAAAGGAATGTTTGCCATAGTTGCCACGCTTGGCAAGCGTGCTTGGCAAGCCGCTGCTGCACAATTGTTTCCCTCTGTCGCCTCTCACGACACCCACGAGACGATATGGGATAGTGGATATTAGCGATTAGATATAGCGGAAATGGGCAATAACGCTAACCCAGACTGACTGCCAGGCTGAAGAAAAGCCTAACCGCCAGCACCTAACTGCTTGCCTTTTATTAGCATACGATATAATTCTTTACAAATCCTGTTTATAGCAAACGTTCACAATTATTCATTGAATGTTGGCATGCCTGCCATGATTTACTCGTTCAAAACTATTTTTAATTTTTAAGGCGTACATGCGACGACGTTGCGTGTATAAAATGGATAATGCGACTTGCATTGTCAGATTTTTAATCGAACCATAGATAAACATATTTATTTTTATCTGCAATATTTTTATTTAGTAAATACGTTGCGGACACGTGTTTTATTAATTACAATAAAAGAATAAGTTTGGAGTTAACTATAAATTTACGCAACCATTTCCAGATTTAGCAGTGATAAAAATTTATCATACAAAATAATAATAAAAAACTGCGGTTGCTAACCCGTCTGCCAAGCGTGGCAACTATGGCAAGGTCCTCTATGGGAGAAGCCTGTGTTCAGCAGTGCTCTTGTATAGACTCTAATGGATGGAATGTGGTGTGACTTTCTGAGCACCGTGGCAGTTTTTCGGAAGTAATCTAAGGTCAATATTCAAGGGTTGCTTTTTTCAATTTTATTACCATTAGACCCTCTGATCCGAATCAAATTAGCAGCCATGCACAGCACTCACGTTACTCATTAACGCTATTTCTAGCTACAATGCTGTTATTACCATTAAATAATTAAACATGTGAATGATTCCAAAGTGGAAATTAAAACGGTAGAGGGAAAACCGTATAGCGTGGCATTCGTGCGCATATAAAAGTTGTAAAAGCGGTCGCTCGGTCGTAAACGGCGGGTCCCAGGTTCGAGCCCCGGCCCGTAAACTAACAAATCTGACCCGCATCGTAAATCACTTAGGCACGTTGTTACAGATAACGTTTACGAGTTAGAAACAAAATATGAAATAAAAAGAAGCGAACACAGGTCTTTGCTTTAGTTACACTTTTATAATGGCTATTGCCTTGGCTCGGTAAGGCAAATAAAGCCTTTAACGGAATCCATTTAAATTTGGAACACCATTTATAATTCAAATATCAAAAAAGACATTTAACTAAAAATACAGAAGTTTTGAATAAGTATAAACATTGTTGCGTTGATTTATGATTCTAAAAGATATCGTTTTCGATAATCTACTAAAAAAAAAAACAAGAAGGAAAAAGGTTTAAAAATTTCCGATTTGATTTCGAGCGGCCCACCTAAGGTAATTAGGGAACATTCAGGCCTTGACTACATACAAAAAAACCTACTTGTCCAACCAATCACATTGCCCGTCGAACCAAAAAGGGTTCAAGAACTGGCCGCGATGTGTCCGCCTTCGGCCATATTTAAAAAATTAAAAACATAAATCAAAAATGTTATTGGATGTTTTAAGTCAATATAATTTCAGAGAGTTCGTTACAATGGCCATGTATGAATATTAAATCATCTTTTTATCTATTGTTCACGATATGTCATTGCATCGTACAACGGTGACCAAAATGGCGCTAATTTTAACTCGAATTGTATAGAACTCATCTTAATAAATATGCACAATAACAATTACAAAATAGGACAAAAAATTTAACAAGATCTCATTGTGAGCTTCTCGTCGGACTGGATTTTTTATTTTTAATTATTAGTCAAAGCTCTAAAAACATCACCTGTAGACAGTGAGTAGTGGAGCGGAAATGGATCCAACTAACGGCATTTTTTTTTTCGATTTTATTTAACAAAAACCGTAGACGAGATACGAACCGACATGTATAGGATATGAGCAACGAGCAAAAAATCTTTTTCGATCACTGAGACAGGTACACGTGGTTATAACAGACGCATCTCGCAATACGCGACAGTTAAAAAAATCATCGTTCATTAAACCGATTTGTAGATGATATAAGTCGAACATTTCTAAAATCGAGTCCGCAATCCGTGCCTGGATATTTGTAAATTTCGAATGCGTCATAATTTTTATTTTAAAAATGGCGTTTAAAGGTACATACAGCCAGTGATTCGTATAGAGGTATCGCATTACCGGTTATCTCGTTACAAAGCGTATTGTGTTCACGCCCGTTCGGTTTTTAACGAATTCGCCGGTTTCTAACGTACGTAGTGAGATCAATGCGGCGCCGGATATTTTATGGAATCCGCTGTGGGAGCGACCGCCGGCCGCGGTATCTTGTTTCTCGAGATCATTCGTCTTGATACAGACGTTAGTCAAACTAGTTTCGTCGAAACGTGACCATAATATTGACAAGTGGAATTAATTCTCGAGTCGGTAGTGCGGGCGAACGGAGATTTGAATTTTATACTCCTAATTAGCGCGGTCGCGCGCGAATCGCTTGATTTGATAGAGTAAGTCAAAAAGCAAACGTCCCGCGGTGTTACCGTTATCCGGCGATCTTGAGCACAATGGCGTGAATCGGCAATGTGACACACGCAAGAAATCCGACCGGTTCCTCAACGGAACCTGCCAAAACGACACAATACGAGCCTTATAATATATGTAAGAGCGAAAGCTCTTATACCCCACAAGCACCTGCAAGATCAATCCAGCTCGATGTCGACCGGTCTCGGTTACCCGTATGCGTGTGCCCGCCGCTTGCGTGCTATCGGTATCTCGATTCAAAATCGACCGCTCGGATAATCGAATCGATATTATGTCAGGAGATATTTCTCTGGACCGGTTCCGCGCCGCTACGAAATGTATTCCCTTTTTAAATAAACAATAAAATCACTTACTTTTTCTAATTCTAATAGATGAAACCGTAGGACTTGTATCGCTTGCACCATCTGAAAAGAAATAAAACGTATGAGTCCAACAAGTACATCACCGCTTACGAATAGTGTTAAATCTACGGGTTTTATTACATTTATAACTTCGAATTTAGGCTTTAATTAAAGGGCAATAGCCAAGCATAATAGGTCTGGTTTAGTGCCGTGTCTGAGGCCCGGAATGAGCTCCATCGTACAAAGGCAAAGGAGCAACAATGGTTCAGACAAAGCGCTATGGAGCCCTGCAGTGCGTAGTGATGCGCGACTACTCATTATCGATATAGTATCGAGTCGATTGTGCTGGAATTCCACACCACCGCTGGTCTGTTATTATCAAATAACTCGGTCAACAGTTTTGTCTTGTTTTCACGTTAATATTGTTTCAGGTTTGAAATTACTAGCTTTTTTAAGCCTAAAAAATCAATCAAGAACAACATTGTTAGAATTAGATAACTTAAGTTCTGTAACAGAGAGTACTTAAGCTCCTACCTAAAAATAAATTAAAAATATATGTAGCGGTTATTTAGTTTTCCTTTACCTATAATCATATAAATGTTGTACTACTTTTAGTGTCGAGCAATGTATTCTATGAATTGAATCGATAATGCAGGTGCTTAACGTTTTAATCACAATAAAGCCTGACAAGAGGAAAACTGTAATAGACCACTGTTATAAATGTTTTATCTAATATGAACGTCTCTTAACAGCTGTTACTTTGTTATATACATTTTTTAATATCTTGGTTATATATTATAATTAGGTATTATTTTTGAGACATATTTCATTATAAGCTATTAATTGTAAATTTTGCTGTCTTAATTTTTATCCACGTTCCACATAGCAATCGTCATGGCTGACCCGGAGATTCTTCGCACCCTCTGATTATCTAAGGTCTGCCGGGGACTGAGGGCTATTTTTATATTGTTCTCAGCCATAATGATCTTCCTGGGGAAGTATATGTGATGGTTTCCCGTTGCCTTCCACACGCTGTACTATTGCCGAACCGATTCACACCATCTCCGTCAATAGCTTCCTTTTCCAGAACAGTTCCAGCCAGCTAGACTTCTTCTTCTGAAAATACTGTTACGCAGCTGCCCATAACAGAGGAGTGCTTATTTACTGGCAGCACGAAACGCCAGGTCACTATTGTTTCCTAAGGAATAACCACTGCATCCTAGAACCTTGTCGCTGAATGGTCGGGAACTGCAATGCAGCTAGCGAGGATACCTCCAAGCCGTTCCATGATCCGCCATTTATGGACCCTGGTGCCCTACTCTTAATTTTTATAGTATTTTGTAATGCTGTGTCACCTATAAAGGAGCTCACATCAGGACCTACTTAAGCACATATTAGCTTGCTTTCAATAGAAAAGTTAAATAAATAAGATTAGATCAGTAACAAGAAACAGTGTCGTTGAATCGAGATATATGTTATAATTATTTTCAATCTATCTTGCATATTTTGGATTATGTGTTGTGATAGTAATTAATTCTATATGTTATTTATGCATACAGAACATGCTTATACATTCAGCAGTGTCTGGGAGCGACAAAACGACGCTGTTATCCGTACGGCTCGAGCCATCGCGGCTTTGTATTCGATTCAGTTTGGAAGATTGGTTGGCTTTTTCAAATCGATACGTATCTAAAAGTGGTAGTTAATGCCGTTTTAATAGCGCCTTGATTTGTTTCTGATTGCCAGCGCAAGACGCGGGTTGTATTCCCGACCGCCTTCGCCACGCTCATTTCGTTTTTGATTAGCTTTTGTTAACTAAAAAAATAAGATTTTGAAATCACACATTCACCTAAGATTAGTACTTGTAAATTTTTCTAATCAGGTAAAGGAATCTAAATTGTGAGATTATTTATTTTATTAATCAATTAAGTCAATTTATTTATTTACTTTAATTAAAAATACGGAAATTCCATTGCAATAATGTCACAACAAAACTACCAGGACCTCATGACATTTGCGAAGCTCAAGCTGCAATATCAATTAAAGGAATGTATGTACTCGGTCCTGTAGAACCACCCCCGAGTATTTGCTCAGACGTGCGTCGCTGACAGAGGCCCGGGTGACAGATAAAAATATGTTAACTGTGTACACATTGCCTGTTTGTCGGAGCGCGGAGTGCGGGAACTCCGCTGCCTCGTCGTCAACATCACGGCTCTACAATGTTTGCTAGGTTTAAGACCATCTATGAAGTTTAAAGAGGCTACTTGTCGGTTTGTGCATTTTGGGACGGATCAAATAATACAGACTATTAAAAAATACCTTGAAAACTATAAGAAATGTGTACCATAAGAATTGAAGACTAAAAAAATTATCGAGGTAGTGAATAATATTTATAAATCATCTAAATATGAATACAGCAAGAAAAGGGTTTTTCGTTAATGGAAATTATTTAAAGAAGTATACGTATAAGTAATACTGATTAATATTATTCATGTATGATTTGTCGACAAAGCGAGACAAAAAATAATAATGATACAAATGGCTTAATTCCAGTGTCTAATGGCACAAGTGGCGATGAGCCTGTTTGCCAACGCCCAACGAGAAGTAGCGGCTTGTCGAGGGTGTTTAATACCTCAAACACCGTGACAGACCAAACACAGATGTGACGTGAGCAAATAGCCTGGTAGCCAAATGAAGACCAACGTAGGGTCACCACCTAATATGCATTTTTTCGGGACATACTCATATAAGAAAATGTATCGGAAGATAAAGAATAGTAAATTATGATGTATAGATTTTATACGCACTTACATTAGCCATTAAAGTTACTTAATATTATGTGGCAGTAATCAAAATATCGTACTAATTCCACTAATAAACTAAAACACCCATATAAACTAAAAACAAATCTGCGGCATACTGCTGTGACTTATGATGAATCCACTTTTTTTTTACAAACAACAGCTTTACACCGTTGCATTTACCGTCTCATTTCCTTTCAGTTGGTGGGGGAAGCACCCTAAACAGTATATAAGATATAACATATATAAATATATAACATAACATCCTATATAAGCTACCTATACCCTATAAAAATAAGTTAATTAAACGCGATAAAACCAATATAAGTGGTTTTATTCAACATCAAAATTTAATAACAGCTATATTATATCATAACATTGTTTCCGTAAGAATTATAAATACGTCATTAAAGTCAATTAAATTTTAATTCGAAATTGAATACGTTATAATAAAATGACATTTATTGGAGTGTACTGCTTAGAATGGTTTCATTTAAAACGCACGGTATTAAAAATAGACGGGTTGTAAAATCAATCGCGTGACAAAAAGTAAGGCCGTTATTGTTTTCCTCTGCGCAGCATACACGCGCATTTCATTGCGCGAAATGAATAATGTAGGTAATATATTATGTCATATATATTTAATTTAATTTTTTTGAAATCAACATAAACAAATATATGGATTCATTTGCTTCTTTTGCGTATATAGTATATATAGCTGAACCCCGCAGACGTTGTCCTGCTATTTAATATCATAGGTTGTGTTCAGCAACATTTTTATTTTTCATTTTAGCGCACGTAATTTAGTTTATTGATTGCCGCGCCTGATTGAAAAAAAAATCAAATAAAATCAAAAATTTAAATTTTTTTTTAGTTTATAATTATAAACCTTTCCATTCTTCAAATATATTTTGAGTTAAACGATTTTATATATACAAAACATCTTCTTTTGTATAATATATACATTAAAGACAATCGTTTTTCAGGAGTAAATTCCAGTCACGAGTCTGAGCTGACACTCACAATTTTCTTCCACATATAAATATTATCTTTGAAAATGTATATTGCTTGTCACCCTACTCCGTAACAAATCCTTCGTCCGCACCGAACTTTCAATGTTAGTTTAATATATTAAAAAACTTAAACTCTCCTTTGTTGATATTTGATAACTTGTGCCGGGACAAAAACTTAGGCTCCTCGAAATTAATATGAGTGCGTGCGTATCACATTCCTATCTATTCCTGTAGGATGTGGCCCAAATATACAAACAATTAATTCTGTTTTTCGTTTGATGTTGTCGTACTTAGTAGAATACATTATTTTCGGGTTTTTTTTAAAAGCTACTCCCACACTAGGATTTTCTTTGTATAGTGGAGGCAGTTTATATACATAAATTGCACAAGGACAAACATCCAGACCCGGAATAATTAATTTCAGGCCATAGAAATACTTGATCCGTGCGAGATACGAACTGCAGCTCTCAGCGTCACGGAGCTGTCTTTTTAGTCGCACCATCTAAATGAACCTTACATATGCCTTGGTTCCGGCTCGGCGCGTCGTTATCACAGGAATCTACTAAAGAAATGAAATAACCTAGGAATATGGCAGCAGATCCCTTGGTAAATATCATAGCTATCCCTTGATAAAGTGATGTTTCTGTTGTGAGCCAGGAGGCTTAACTGTTTATCGGACTTAGGACGGCCCAGTGACCGCGAACTGTATACCAATGGTTTCACTACTGACTATGAAGATAAATTAACTGATGTGGTAAGACGCTATACATGTCAGTCATAATACTTTCTTCTTCATCATCATCATCATCACAGGCCATTACAAGTCCACTGACAAATATAGACCTCCCGCTAGGAATGCCACAAAGCACGGTCCATAGCACATGTGTCCATGGTCCTCCTCATCTCTTACTACGCCGTCACTCCATAGGTATAGTAGGGACCACTCCCCTTCGCTTACCGGTACGAAGCTGCTACTCAAGAGCTTTTCTTTCCCATCGATTGTTGGTTCTTTGAGATATATGGCCGGTCCATTGCCACTTTCAGCTTACTTATCCGTTATGTTATATCGGATATTCTGATTCTACTGCAGAAATCCTCATTTCTAAGTATATCACGCAGAGAAACTCCGAGCAAAACCCTCCATAGCTCGCTGCACGACCTTTAACTTCCTCATACGGCCATCAGTGGAGGACTACGTCTCAGATCAATGTCATCACTGGCAACACGTACTGCTAGTATACACTCTTATTTTCATATTTCGTATATAAAAGTCTACTGCTGCACATAAGCTAACCCCGTAGACTATCTCTAAGGGAGGATTTTGCCATAGTTGCCACCTTGTCAACTGCAGTTTTTTTACAAATTGAACGCTTCTGCCCATCTCTTGATTCACTTTCCCTTTGTCGCCCCTTGCCCACGGAGTGATATGGCGTAGTGGATAATTCTTACACTGCCACTACACGTTTATGGTTTATTATAACGCTAATTTTAAAGTGCGCTACAAATTACCGCTTTGATAATTGTAACACTACAAATTACACGACGAACAAATCACTGTGTTCGCTTTCAAGTGTCACTTGAGAAAACTAAGCGGTGACGCAATGGCGACCAAGGAACCCCGACCATTATCATCGGGGGCCTTGTTAAACAACAATAATGCTCGCTGAATACCATTGTCTACCACAACCGAAAGTGCAAACAGGACTCGCTGCTAGCTAGCAAGTAGCACGCACAAAAACCACAGCCTGCGGCATCACGCGTCCATCGAAAACTGCACTTAACGCAATTGTAGTAAGTGTAAAAATGCAATCGATATACGGTGCATGGAGCTTCTTAATCATATACAACTGGCAACCAATTATTTCACTTGTATCACACAATAGTAATTTTATTGGAATCGAAAGAAATTGCCAGCAAGGTGTCTTTTCAAAGGATCCATTGAAAATGTAAATGGCCACTACAGAACTGCATAATAACCAATATTTCTATAGATAACAGTCTGCGCCGCTTTTCATTTGAGACTAATTATAGTGAAAGGAATTATATGAATACTAGGTTTTTCCGTTGCTTCTTTATCTAGATTAGCAATTTATGACATAATGTTTGGAATATTAATTTCTGTTACTGAATCGAACCAAAATTATTATTATAGGTTGGATCAATGGACAAAAACCATGAGATATTAATTTTGTGCTCGAATTTAATTTTTAAACTTAATATTTTATGCACATAACACGTTTTTCCTTTTTTTTTCTAATACAAAATAAATAAGCAGTAACAAATAAAAATATACAATGTTTTTTTGAACTATGTTCAATATTTCATAGGGAAGTAAGTTTAAAATCAATTACTAAATCCGAATTACTAAACTCAAACGGACATAGGAAACCCAGTAAATTAAAACGCAGTAAAAATGTGGTAAAAAAACGTCATCATAGAGTCCAAATAGTTGCACCATGTGATAGATAGATAATTCACAACGAGTAAACATGTGGGCACACGGTGGCACCACATGTCACCAGGGACACAAAAACACCACGATAATTTAGCTATTGCTCGTCGGTAAGTTTGCTCTGTGCCCGGATATTGGTTGGTTTGTTTGTGCACGTTATCTAGAGAAGGTTGGTTTAACTCGAGGACCGCATGAATGAGGCTTACCAGGACCGCTGCAGGTAACGCCGACAACATCTTAGTTTATGGCGTCACGGGTCGCTACTGTTCCCAACTTGTTACCGGTTTTGTATATGATTTATGTTAATTAGTGTTGCTTGTTTCAAAATGTATTTTATTGAATAGTACAGATTATTGTCTAGAAAGACTACGAAGAAATTTAGGTATAAATTGAAACAAGATAACAAAGTTAAGACACCATGGTATTCTATTTTGACAATGTAGGGAATAATTTTCAATTTTAATTTATACATTTTTAATAGTCTCTTCCCAGAAGGATCTTTAGGACACTGGGCACAATCCCGCATTCTATCAGACCGTTCTGGAAGAACAATGACGCGATGCACAAGGCAATTTATGAACGGACTTCCAAACAAAGTGAAGCAAGCCTCGCCCCCGCGCTCGATTCGTAATGCCTTAGATTTTATTTGTTAAAAATCGGTTAAGTACCCGTGTCGAATGGCGGCGGTGGGTGGCCGCCATCTTATTTTTGTTATTTCGCCTTTTTTCCAACTAGCCACAGGGGACAACGCGATTCAGCCTTTTTATGAGTGACAATATATGGACATTTTTTAATCTTCATTTTCGTCGTTCCCAGAACGTTACCTGCGGTCCGTTTAAACGGCTCCAAGACTAATCAAATCGTAAATTAAACTGAGATGTGAAGTATAAAATGTTAACTATTTTATGGCATACGAAACTTAGACCCACTTTATTTATCTTTGGGGATATAAAATTGTTCAATACTTACTAATGAGTCGACCTCGGGGTCCGCTATGTAATAAGGTTTTTCTTGACGTATCTGTGGACAGAGAGAAAAGTTGCAATTGATTAATGTTACAAATATAACACTCATTACCTATCAAACGAATAAAACAATCAATAATGTAAAACAGATATTATAAGATACATATATCAATATCATTAACATTAATTAGTCTCATAGCTATATAAATCGTAACTTGCAAGATTAGCATTAATATTACACTTTGTGAGCACTGTCTATCACACAAACTGACAAATGTATCTTACAAGTGATTTATAATCAATAAAGAATAGCTTGTAAGTGGACACGAGTTAATGAGTTGAACAGTGTGTCGGAGGCGTATTAATGGCGGACGCAGCCGGGCTGCAGCGCTTGTGCGTGGCCAATAAAGTGTTCGCACGGCTGGCTGCGCGTGCGCATGCCCGTCACAGAGCACGAATGTAGAGCCGATAGCAAATGGGTGACCATGTGCGAGCATTATTCGAAGGCCTAAAGCTTATGCAGTTGCATTTACTCGTGTCTCGTAAGGATTCGATTAAGAACGTGTTAGGAATTTCATTAGTCTACAATATCAGATTTGTATCGCAATTTTTACAAATTACGCCGCATCTTCTTCTTCACCACACCATAAAATTATACGTGTGGACATAAGCCTTTCTTGTTGTAGAGAGGATCAGTCTCCGCATCGCAGTTCTAGGCATCTCGCTACTATGTGGTTTCTACCAGCCTATCGGAAGCCACTCAGATATTTTTGGATTCCCTAAAGTCGCATCGGCACGTCCACGGGAGTCCCGTACTACTAAATAGAGAGATAGACGCACTATCACCGCCTCCATATGACCTAGTTTGTTTTTGACTGCATTGAATTCTGCGGTGGAATTAAAAAACAAAATGCATCGTGCAATGTTCTTAGTAATTTAAAAATCTTATTGCTGCTAATTGTTTGCCCACTAAGTGAAGAAGCTAAAATTTATATATTTTCACTAAAATATCAACCTTATTTAATGCCAATGGGTAAACATAGCGGGTCTTCCTTTAGGTTTTTTTATTTAATTTTATAAAATAAGTGTAACAAACGAGTGTACAGTCCACCGGATTGTATACTCTGGCCCCTAGACATCTACGTTCATCCTCGAAAAAAATCAAAATGCAGATGATTTGTTACCCCTGAGGTTTAAGATGGAATGCCTCGTACAAATCGTCTAGATGCTCATAATGCACCGAATTTTCAAACTGGTACATATTTGTCGCAATTTGTACCTCCTCAAAAGCAAAATGTGCTTGAAAGTAAAAGTTACAAAAACATTCAATTTATACAAAGATATAGTTCTAATCCTTGCATATTCTTTGACAACGTCATAGAAACTTTTTTCGACATTGAACCTAGCTTGACCGGAAATGCGATACTATCACGCACCTTATGCAAGGCGGCTGCGCTTATAATAGATATAAGTTACCACCTTCGCTCGACCCGGGTCACAGGCCCAGTGCCTCGTTGGCATGCCATACGCGTTCGAGATGACGCCTCTGACTACGTTACATGATAAATCATGTTGCAATTTTATTTATGGATATTTCTAAATGAAAATTCGAATTCACTTTTAAATTTTGGTACACTATTATAGTCAAGCAGCTTTCACATATTCTTGGAAAATAAATAAAAATTTGTGTGACCAAGAGTTAACACTTATCCTGAAGTTTTTGATATTTATTTAAATGAATTAGTTATGTCAAATAGATAGTAAATGTTAGAGGTTATACTATTTATTGTTTTCGTGACAACCCTTAAAACTTTACTTGTTTGTGGTTCGTTAGCTTTATAATACAAACTTGTCACATGGAACATTTTCCACAAACAAATGCAATTCGAAACGCTAATTAAATTAACACCCTAAAGCATCACAATAAGACACAAATTTATTCAAAGCTCAGCACGCTCCGTTTAACAAATGTCTCACATTAAAATGTATTGAATCGATTAAGATCTTTTACCTATAAATGTCGTGAAAAGTTAATTGATTTTAGAATTACGAGTTTATTAACTAAATAAAATACAATAAATATGATAAATTGACAACCCTAGCATAGTTAATGTGTTATCACGTGTGTGTGTTTGTGTGTGTATGTAGTATGCGACCCGGCATGTCTGCCTAAGTGAACACATTCCATCATCCAGTATATGTAAAATGGCATAATAATCATTATTAAGAAAAGGTAAATTGGAGGGGACTTTTTTCAAGAGTTGACTCTTTACAAACTGATGACAATGATGACTAAATTGCATTGGAAATACTAGCATCATCTACATCTATCCAAAAACAGCCCAGTGTACTGTACTAATCATAGGCACTAATCATTATAAAATATATGGGTATATTCCATTAGTCGAAACCACAATGTAATTCTGGAATATTTTCTCGAAGATGAGATGTGATGATGCTCTTATCTTATGATCTCATCATACGGCAAAGTATCCGACTCACTTGTGCATTTGACGAAGATTAGTCGAGTAGTAGCTGCCCATCTCCTAATTTGTTTACCTCTGTCATCTCTTACGACACCCACGGGATGATGTGGGGTAGTTAATATACTTACACCGTCAATACACTATTGGTTCTTGTTTATGTACGTACACTTTTTAAATATTTTTGTATTTAAAATTAACATCAAAGTCTAAAGGAACAATTGAAATACAAAAATATTAAAACGTTTAGTGGTTTTCCTTTATTTATAGGATAAGGGTGACAAACGAGCGCACAGTTCACCTGACGGTAAGTGGTTGCTGTGGCCCATAGACATCTACATCTATCCTAGATTAAGAATCAAAATGAAGATGCATTGACACCCGTGAGGACTAAGATGGAATGCCTCATTTCCTGTAAAAAGGGTCTCCGGTTCTCTACACTCACCATACGAAACATAGCTCAGCGTTAAGGTGCTATTTTACGCTGGTATTCTGTGAGAGCATGGTCCTTCCCCGGTTGAGCCGACCCATTCGTGCTACAACTATACTATTAATATAATTGCAGCATGGCTCTACCACCTGCAAAGTGTATTGATTTTATATTTTATAGTAAGTAGCGTATTGTTTACTATCATAGACAAAATAGTCAATTCGATAAATATGTAGGTATAACAACTATTAAACATATTGTATTAAAATACTCCGAGTACTGTTCAAAGATAACCGATGGCGCTTCGAACTTATATAAACGAGAAAGCCCCTCCTCCGCCTTCGGGCGAGGAAGTCTCTCGTTTGGGGGGCCAGCGACCCATGAAGCCCCCACTTTGGGACACCACGAATTAAATGCTAATAAGGTACGATCGACCGAAACCGCCTTGAGTGGTAACCAGCAATTTCGTTGTAACTACTCCATAGTTTGTTCTCAGGCGATTCTACGTCAGGGGTTATTATGTACTTATAGGTATTTCGGAAAGGTAGGGCCCATTGGATTACAAGTAAAGTTAAAGTTTGGTCACAAGGAGTAATTATTATTTAAAACTAAAGTTTCCATAAGTTTATCCAGTACCTAAAATGCAGATGTTTCGTATGATGAGGGACGGGTAAACGGATACCTACCCTTTTTACACGTAACGAGGCATGGCATGTCAGTACCCAATGATGACAACGTATCTGTTTGTTCGTTAATCGAGGATAAATGTAGTTAACTATGGGCCTCAGCCAATCTACGTTCAACCAGGTGATCGGCACACAGTCCATTCAATGGTAAGTGGATAGTGTAAACGATAGTCATCAACATCTATCATCAACCTTCAGTCGAAATGCAGATGTATCGCAGAGAGTAGCTGCAGCTATATTCTGGTTGTAGCACGAATGGGTCGGCTCGACCGGGGCAGGACCACGCTCTCAGCTTAATACTGCTGTGTTTCGTATGGAGAAGGGATCCGGAGACCCCTTTTTACTGGAAACGAGGCATTTCATCTTAGTCCTTGGGGGTGACAACGCATCTGCGTTTTGATTCTTAATCGAGGATAAATGTAGATGTCTATGGGCCACAGCATCCATTTACCATCAGGTGGACTGTGTGCTCGTTTGTGACCTTTATTCTAGAAAAAAAAGAAAATACTGAGATGGAGTGCATCGTCAGCAGTAAAAAGATTTTATAGCTGCAGCATGCTGATGTAGAAGCATGTTTCTATCATGTTTAACATATTTAAAAAGAGTTACAGCCTATATAAGTCCCACTACTTGGCACAGGGTTCCTCTCATTTCCGAGAGCGTTTAGGGGAAAGAAGGATCCGCCGCGTTGCCCCAATAGAGTGTTGGCGGACGTCATGTCTTTGAATCATTTTAATTTTTTTCAGACATGCAGGTTTCCTCATGATGTTTTCCTTCACCACCGAACACGCGATAAATTAATATTGCAATTAACAATTTCATTGGTGAAATTTTAAATTTACAGCGAGCGCTAATCCTCTGAGCTGCCACGACCTTTTAAAAAGAGACAAGATTTATCGATAAAATCAAAATATTGTATTAAATAAGAAATCGCTGGTCGCACAAAAAGTCATTCCTATAGGAGGTTGATCGTAGAGTTAGTGTACTAAAATATCAATTAATTTCTCGACGCAGTTTACTTCTATTCATTGTATTTACAATAAAATAATAGAAAGCAGATGTTTTTATCCCAATACTCTCGACGGAATCGTAAAAACCAACGGCCATCTTGTGGAATAACTTTTGACTCGCCCTAAAAATCTTTGTCTAAGCGCAATTGTCGTTTCTCTATTCATAACGTTTTACCTGCTCCTTTACCATCAATCCCTTTGTGCATTTTCAGGCGAAACAGTGCATTGTCAGAGTAATTGAATAAATGCCTTAAAAGTTCCTTTGTGGGCTACACTAAGCGTTGGACAGGGACTTAGAAAATATTGTCACAGAATTTTTTCGCCGATTTAGAAATAGAACAATGTGGATACAGTCTTCACATGCCTTCCCTACCTGAGTGTAAAAAAATATTAAAGCGATCATCAAATTTTTAATCAAACCATCGCAGCTTCCATGGAATCGATTC